ATTAGATAAAATTAGATAATAATTTTGTTTATAGTCTGAGTCTCATTTTTGTAAAAAATTTGTAAATTGGCTTCAGCCTGTGTTAACTTATATAGTTGCCCAAAACAAATTAATAATAAAAATAAAGACAAAATCTTACCTTAATATCAAAAAAAAAAAAATAAAATAAAATATTATATAATATATATTTTTTTAATTTATATATTTTAAAATTATTAAAATTTTAATTTAATTTTAAGAAAGTGTACATGATGTACATGTATTTTATTGATCTTCTCTTTATTATAAGATTTCTCATAACTCTGAACAATAAGTTCCAGGAGAATGTTATATTATTGCTGATCTAGCATATCTCCTTAAAACTTATTTAATAAAATTATTTCTAGATTATAAAACATTAACAAATTGTAAATAATAATTTAACATGATTCTTTCTTCAATAAGAATGAGTATTGATAGAGCATTTGGACTTTTAAAAGGAAGATGAAGAATATTATTAAATAAAATTTACTATACAGATTTAGAACAAATTATTCGAATAATTCATACTTGTTAAATTTTACATAATATTTGTATTAATAGAAATAATTTTAATTATAAAGATGAAATTATTATTAATAACAATAATAATAATAATGAAAGTAATAAAACTATTAATGATAATAAAAATAAAGGAACTATTAATAATAATGAAAATAAAGAAACATTTATTATAAATATTAAAAAAGAAAAATAGAAGCATACAAAAATGAAAGTATTTAGCAAATGTTCTAGTTCAGAATAAATAATAATTTATTGTAATTATTACAATTTATTATTATATATAATTCTTAAAATTTGAAAGATGTAATGACCTAATGAAATGATTAGATTATTAACTCTCCAAGTGGTAGACTGGGTGTTCAAATCTTATTAATAACAAAAATTTGAATAATTACCTATGTAATCTGATATTATGGCAACTGTTCCTAATGATTAGATTAAGATACCTATAATTATGATCACATTAATATGACTGGTAGGTCATAGGGCATCTGTATAACTTGTTATATAGAAGAATACAAACTGACAAATTGGGCAGTACAAACTCAAAATAAGTTCTTGTAACTGTATAAATTTGTAGAAATTGGAGAACAAAAAGCCTATTTAAGAAAACCCAAATAGAAAAATAATATAGATCTTTGATAGTACTAATGTAAAAACTAAATCTAAGAAATAGATACCAATACTATAGTAGCCAAATAGACAAGAACCTTTAGGTTGGGAGTCTCAGAAGTATCACCAACCAGACCACTAGATCAGACTAAAGAAAAAGGATATCAGACCAACCCAATATACTGATAGACTGGTTATAGTCCTATACAAACTATTAGGATTAAGAGTTTGGTAAAAGAAGCAGAAGTATACTAAAATACTAGAAATATACTATGAAGTAGGTACTGGGATCTGGGTGAACTCTATAAAGACACAGCAGTTTAATAGTTAATTCTGACTACAAGTATTGGTTTTGCCATAGTGATATCCAGATCAATTGCAAAAATGAGTAGACAGCAGGCTCCAGTAGGTTTTTCTTAAAGATAAAGATGTCCTAAGATTGAGATAAAAGATCTAGGTTTGACCTGGTAAAGTAACATGAAACAGGTTCAGAAGATTTAAATAGAACATCCAGATAGGAATGTTAGGTATAGCAATTGGTAAGGAACATTAGGCAGACTCTTTAAATAGGTAATATAGAATATTATATAAGTGGCCAGTTGTATGTTCTTTCTGTAGTAACTCTTTATAGAACTACATTTCTAAAAATATATTAATAAAGTCAAAAGACTAAAGAAATCATCTTAATACTAAAAAAAAATAATAATAATTCTTAAAATTTTATAAGAAATTGCTTAAAAATTTTTATTTGCTTATTATGTTGCTTTTGCTGAATCTTATTAGCATGAATATATTGATTTTTAATTGGTTTAATAATTATTTCTGTTTGCTTATTGATATGAGTTAAAATATTATCAATCTGTTTTTTTATTATCAGAATAAGTATTTTTTTTTTTTTGAATTAATCTATATATAATTATTAATATTAAATAAATAATAAAAAATATATATTAATATTGAATATATTATTATTTTATTATCATTATTTATATAATCTTCATTAAATTTATAATGCTTAATACCTCAAATTGAATTACTAGTAATGGGAACAGTAATGCTTGGATCATTTTTCAAATAAAGATTTATATTATTAAAAAATTTTCATTCATTTTAAATAATTTTTTGCATTTATATTTTTAATAATATCTTTTATATTTCAATACTTTTAATGAATAGAATTCTATTTTTGTTGAATTGAAATTTTAAATCAATCTTTTAAAGTTGAGTTTAGAACAGAAGCTTGAATACTTGAAATAATATTATTCCAAATATAACTCTTTTTTCTTGAATCTTTACTTGTTGTAATGATTTATATTGCTTTTTAATTCCTTCAATTAATATTCAAGTGTCAGATAAAGACCATCTTTTTGACTTTGATTAATTATTTAATGCTTCAGAAATTGAACTTGTATCTGAAACTGAATCAACATTAGAAGTTAATTATGAAGTAGTTTCTAATTTGGTCTTAGACAAACCTGATTTTTTTTGATTAACATAATTATTAGATGAAAGTAATGCATTAAAAAATTAGTATTATATATATAAATTGTATAATAAATATATATTGATATATGATTAATACCTCTTGATATTCAACAGTTGCCTTATTTAAAAACAATGGATTTATAAAAAATGAAGAGATAGGATAATGCAGTTGAAATAATATATTAAGGTTAGTAAAATCAGTAAATAGTGCAACAGGAACAGCTGAAGTTGTTACTTCACTAACATCTGTTATTTCTTGTTTGACAGTATTCTTCTTTTTTTTATTTTTTGGTTTATTAATTTTTGATGACAACATTTGATATGTAAATAAAATAATAATAAATTAGGCCTACCAAATAATTGATTGTGCAAGCAATTAATTACAATATTTTGAACTCAATTAATTAATTGATGGCAAAGTCACAATGAGTCAATTAATTGCACTTTTTGGTGTGATGAATTATTTACATGATGAATAAGAGTTCACTAATACGTTTAATTAGTAAATCATTATTTGTCACATATAATGATTCATCGCAACTATGTAATTAATTGCAATTAACTGCAATTATTTCGTCACTAATTGGGTTTAATTAATTTCATGATAATTTTAATTGATTTTAATTGTATGACGTATAACAAAATTAATTTTTCGGTAGGCCTGTAATAAATCGCTCAAGTATCAATTGCAATGTTTATTTTTATTGATAATGATAAATGAGCATCATCACGATCACTAGCTAATCGCATCAAGGACGATGCATGAGAAAATTTCAATCACATCATAGCTTACATATTCGAATTGTAAATAAAATTTTTACATAAATATAATTATATTTGTGCACTATTACGATCACCCGCTAATCACATCGGGGTTGAGGTTTGAGAACACCCATGAAGTGTATGGTTATATAGCAAAAACTCGCGAATGATTGGATAATGCATCGAATACACCTAAATTTCATCACGTTACATCGTCACATGGATCTGAATTTTTATATATTAAACTTGCTTTGTTACCGGTTGAGTGTGAGAAATATGATCTTGTCGTTTGAACTAATTAACAGAATAATAAAACTAAGATTAAAAAAAAACTTTTTGTCTTCTGAAAATAGAAAGACTTAAAGGTGTATCACTTTACATTTCTGTAATTTATAACATTGTGTAGTTATCCCGTTTAACATTTAAGATGAAAACCTTTATAGATAGATTATTATTTATACCAATTGCCCTTACTCGATATGTTACCTATTAAAGCCTTCTATACCTTCTAAAACCATGCTATACTATTGATACTATGACCGATCGCCCTTACTCGATATTTTACCTATTAAAGCCTTCTATACTTTCTAAAACCATTGTGAGCCCGATTTTCGGGGTCACAGGTGACCGAATCGAAGCGACGATCCTGACCCGATCCAAGGTCACACGGAC